GAGAGTTGGCTACTGCACTGCCACTTCTCACTTGTTAAGTGTAGATAGCTCTAAATATAATGTTGAGAGTAAGCAGACGCGGTCGCAGTTATGACGTCATGCGTAATGCACTTAAGACAGAGACGGACGACACAATGATGCAACGCTCTCACTCCCTACTCGCTCTCGTCATTTCTAAAAAGAATACAGTATATACATAGTAGCATTGGCTACAAGTGAGGAGTCAATGTAAATACAGTTTTAAACATCCCACAAGATTAGGACAACATCGGAAAGGACTATTGGTAAATTTCGCAAGAAATTGTAGGATTGCCTAACCTTAAACAACCGTTTTGACATGGATTTTTTTACTTTGCTGGTTTAATAACTGTTAACAATTTTAACTGAAGAAATTTCACAGTGTTAATGAACGCTGCAATGGAAGTAAAGACCTAAATTTTAACAATTATTTACAATAATTTCACATCAACACCTCGATTACAAAGGTGCTAATACAAGTGTAAGCGTCAATAAATTACGCACTATTAAAATGTGACATAGACAATAATAGCTCGTAAAAATGCTTACTAAATGGTGTATCGAAAACAATTCATCCTTTGTACACGAATCAATAATAGCTTCATTGATTCTCAAACTGTGTGTAAATCTCAGTAACATCAGTTGATGATGCTATTACTAAAGTGGTCCAGCAAATGGAAGTTTAACACGGTGGACCAAATTTATATGTTTGAGCCCAATTGGACAGGCTAATAAGAGTCCGGCCCGCCATCAATATGCATGAGCCAGACATCAGGTAGACCCGGCATATGCGCGGCGCTAAATGATAAAATCAATTGCCACAATCTCCAGTGACGGCTGCCGAATATGGGGGCTGGCCCGACTGGTTTGTGTTGGCCGCGGGAGTCCCAGCTCAGATACGTCGTACATGTTTGTATAATTAACTGCAGTACTGAGTACTCCAAGAGATTTAACAGTGGAGGATGTCGATCAGTGAACGTATGTTTGTACACATCTACACGGAAATAATTAATTAATATGGTTTTGAAATTAGAGTTTAAAATATTTGTGTTGGGTTTGTGTTAAGCTTGATCTGAAGACTGGTGCAGGATCATAGGGAGTTGTCATAGTTGTTCTATTATCGCTGGAACAAATAAACTATTCTGGAATAAGAAAATTGATACACCTTCAAAAACTGGGAAAAACGTCAGCTTGGTATGGAACCGGTAGTAGAATATCGAATTCTAAGTACCAAAATACCATGGTTAAAACTGTGTTTGCAGAGACAACAAATGCAATTATATTATCAAGAGAAACTTCCACATACGTTTGTTACACAAGACAAATTTCTCAAAATACGTTTAAAAATCTCTATATTTTAATCAGACGTAGGCCCTACTTATACCCTTATGTCAATCAAACTATATATAATACTTGTATAAAACTTCATTGCGTATTAAGTTTAAGACTAACATTACAAGTAGAAATAAAAACAAAGCAAATTGACTCCTTAATTGTTTTGAGTGTATAACACGTATCAAACTAACACTTAAGTCAATCTACAATCATCATTAAATAAAGCAATGAAGAGGTTTGCATAATGTGAACTGAGGAAAAAACTATCAAAATATAAGATAGAGTTGATGTTTTTGAGACAGTCTGTAAACGCTTCTAATAATGTGGAGGATTCGCAGTAATGCTGGAGGTATCTTCGTATTGTAATGCGGCAGACGCTAAGCTTAGACAAGGCGAGACGTTATTAAATTTGCACTTAATTAGAGTCAGCAGGAGTAGAGGGGGTGGGAGGAGGGGGTGGGCCTAAATGAACCCCGCCACTTGAAGCAAACATCTTGAGCTGCGATACACGTAATTACTGCTTCATCCCTCTCTCCTCCCTTCACCTTCACCAACCCTTACTGTGCCGTGCCAACGCGACTGTTAACTGTATTGACAAAGTACGATCATCACAAATATGAGCAACAGGTGGGTCTTTGGCATCGGTGTTGAAAAGTTTGACTTTGGTATCTTGGTTATTTAACCACGATGGACTTTTAATGTCCCAAAAATAATTTATTAATATTACTGTGATTGTTCCCTGATTTTGCGGATACAACTAGAAATTCGATTTCTGAAGAACTTTAATATTTTCCTTTAAAAATGAGGTAAGTAAAAGTAGCGCCCTTGATATCAGCACGATAAATTTGATATCTGAATTAATCTCAACACCATAAGCCAACTCCATTCCATTATAGACTAATTGTAATTCACACCACTTCAAGTCGCTAGAGCGAGTTTTGCCACCTCCCCATCAAAGGATGGTTCTGGCAAGGTACTCAACTGTCTAGTAGTGTGGCCGGTCCGTATCAGGTATCAGGTGAGGTGTATAAGCTATGCTGAAGTGGCTGTAAATGAAGTCACTATAGTCCCGGACAGGTAAGACCACTGTACTTCCACTCATCTACTGTCCTGTCCCGTCCGTCCCATCACCACATGCCACAGCTGACGGTGCTGATTTGCTTCTGGAATATTCGATGCGATTGTTCCGACGTTTCAACCTGGTTTACAATCAGTCAGGCTATCACTTAACTGTTTAGGGTAGTCAACTATGTTAAGACGTCGATGTGATGAGAGGGCGAGGTAGGCTGAGGCGCACAGTACCTGCATGTCACCGGTAGATGTCGCCACATGCGGGTAATCTGCCGCCCCGACACCCACACACGCCTAATTAATACAAACTGCCATCTGTGTGACAACAACACATAACCACGCCTCGGCCCAACAAAGCTACTCCAGAGAAGTAACTAGAAAATCACCGTCGGCAACAGTGAGATTTGACAAGAACGTCTGTTGAGAATGGTTTTACATGTGTTCTGAAATTGTTTCCATCCTGTACATTTTTGATTTTAGAATAAGAAAAATCATGCCAGATGCTGATAACTGGTCGGTTGTTACAACCGGAATCCATTACAGTAACTAAATCATGTAATGTATATCTTTTGTTTCGGATCCCAAGAAAATTTATGACATCGCTATTTACTAAACTAAAAATCCAATGTGGTAATGTTGTTGGATAAGTCAAGCAGCGCAATTCGTCCATCGTCGGGTTAAAATTCGAACTTTAAATATTAAGTAAATACAAAGTAACTGACTTAATTAAGAAACTTGCAACACAACAACAAACAAATAAATTTTATGTGAACCAGGTTGAAAATAAACATCATAAAGAAAAATGTAAGTCTCTATTACATACTGTATACGAGTAATAACAAGAATATTCTATCCTTCATATTCAATAATGTACGTGCTATATTCTAATATTCAAAACATCTTTGTATATCCCCTCTCCATTTAACTTCAATGTTTGTATTTACCACAATATTTACAGGCTATTTGTTTTCAACGAGCGAGCAGTGTGGGAGAATGTGATTGATCTATCCAATAGAAAAACAAAAGATTGTTTTGTGATTTTAGTTTGGGATAAAATTAAATAAAGCTAATATTCGGAAGACATTATGTGGATACAAGATTGAGTAAATCTGTACAAAGTTGTAAGGATGAAAGTGGAAGTAATATAACACAGTCGTCCCCTCCTATGGAAGTGATATTGTGTTAAATTGTGCTGCAGCGCAGTTCCTGCTGTACCACCCGTGTGGCGTGTGATTCTTTTGACGCTCAATTGCAATTGTGGATTGATGTTAAAACACCATAACAGATAGAAAAAAACTGTATGTTATTTTGAAGCAAGGTCATGGAAAAATGTTTTAGCAACATGACAAATCACTTTGATTCGATAACATATATTAGATCAAATTGCAGTAGTAATTACATCGCCTATAAGGTACCATGATACTCGACAAAAAATAAAGTAAATTAAAAAATTAAATGAAAAGTTAGTAAATTAGGCTAATTTTGTTTAGATAGTATGGAGTAATTGATTTTTTTCAAGTAATATATTCAACACTTTCTACAAGAACCGTTTTTATTCTGAGTGTAAGATTATTAGCATTATTGTGGTCTTAAATAAATCGGTCACTTTGAAGAATATAAAAAAATTATTTTAAAATAAAACTACCTGTCTTTAACTGATTTATTTACACGATCTAAAACATAATGTAGCCTACATGGGATATTAGTTAACCTGATGTTACATACAAAACATGGCAAAGATCCGCGTGTGATTCTGTCACGTTTGAAAAAATCAAGTTGATATAAAAGTATAAATGAGTAAAGACCAGAAACTCTTCAGAAGAGAGGGAAAGCAATAAAGATCAGTTTATAAACGATACACCGTGCCGTGGGGTACGTGAGGGTTAGGGGGGAGAGGGGGGGAGGGGGGAGGGGGAGGGAGGATGATAGCAACCCCGTCTCTGGGAGAGACAGCCGTCAGTCGAACTCCGAACACTACAATACGATAGGTACAATGGTGAACCACAATCGATTCCTTTCATGCGCCGACCGACTCAATTACGATTACGATCACAGAAATGTATATCTTTTCAACTGTTGAAACCCGATTTGTTCTGTAGTAACGTTTGACCAAACAAATTTTTATTATGGGAAAGATTAAAAACTTGTTTGTAGTTTTGGGTAGAATAAGGGAAGACGGAGGAGGTTGTTCGTGTCTACAAGGGAAGTAGATCTTGAGTGTTAGCTGACGCACCACAATAAGAACAATTCTGTAAAAGTTAGGGTTTACTACTAATGGTCCCTAGTAACGCAGAATGGCATTTTATTTACTATGGGGTGTCCGCATCTCGTACAGCATAGTATGTAATAGAAAATGTATTTCAGTCATTTCATTGGTTGTACTGCACCTGCCACCCCTTAGCTTTTATTTACATAAGGGGTTGATCAATGCGTTCAGTGAACGAGTAAGCGATTACGGATGTCACGAATGCTTCTCAACAAACCTACGAAAACAACATTGTGAAGCTGTATCAAAACATGCATGTTCAATGTACATTTCTAAACCCACAAACTGTTTTACGTTATATGTAAACTACCTGCGTTTCCGTAACGCCCAGCAGCTTCGCCATGTCGGCTCTCTCCGACGACGAGAGGTACTTCTTGAGCTCGAACTGTCGCTCCAGCTCGAAGATCTGTCTCCCGGTGAACGTGGTCCTTGCCTTCTTCCTCTTCCGATCACCGTCCGACGAGTGACCGTCGCTCTCTACCCCAGGACTGACCAGGGGGGTTACGGAGGGGACGGGGGGCAACACAGGGGGGCTCACCTTGCCCAGCACCCCGATACCTTCCTTCTTGGCCTTCTTCTTCGCGGGACTGCCATCTGAAAAACAATTTTTGTTAGCAACGCAAGACATAACGGAGGTACTTATAAGACAAAAATAAACTAAAACATGTTACGTCATGGAAGGTCTACCCATGAAATATATAATTTTCTTTTCGTCAAATTCCCTGTAGTTTTTTCCACCTGGTTATTTGAGACGATGGCCGAGTGTTTTATCCCAATCTTATAATCAATGCTTTAGTAACTTCCTAAATACCTTTTAACAAGCACAGAAGAAATGTAAAACGCCTCAGTTTAAAACTATTACAATTTGCTATTAAGTTATTCAAGTTAATAATGAACACAGCTTAGTTGAATGAATGAAATGAGTATTTTTGTTGTGTGAGTTGGGAAAACAGTTAATAATAACAATATTATAATGTGTCAATTAATTTGGCGTATTCCGACGAAGCATTTGTATTTCTAATGTTTACGCCAACATTAGTGAAGGTATTGGTATGATAACCCAGCATCAGGTTTACCAAATCACGGACAGTTGTTTGAAGTTGTGCTGTAGTGCAAAAGAATAATACACTTATAACTGAAACTCCTCAATAAACTATTACAACTTTAAAGACTGTTTCTCCCCTAAAGATGAGCGATATACTCTTAACAATCAGGCTTTATACACCTGTTTTTAGAGGAGATTAAACTATTATATACTGTATTTTCATCTCTATTAGAAATTACTACAAAGCCGACACAGCATCAAGGTGCGTAGTTTGAGTAACTCTATATAAGTGTCACGTTACCTCCAAGAAGTCCTTCTTACAAGACCAATTGTACTATGGCAAAAATATTGTAAGCAAGTTGAATAAGATAAACGAGGGAACCCTTGCACAACTTGCGCATTTTATTTCCTCCGGAGATACAACTGAAGAAACAGCTGTTAAAATCCAATTAAAATCTTAACCTTGATGAATAAGGTTGGTCAGCATAATTGGACTATATTAAAATAGACTCTAGAAACCTTAAGGGATATTGCCTTTTTAATTACCATTCATACGTTTGATAAATCATAAGCTTTTAAATGACACCACAATCGTAACAAATGGTTTAGTATGATGGTAGGAAAAGGTGTGTAACAGAGAAAACCCTTTTGTATAAAGTATATAGATAGACGACAATCTCCTTTAAATACATATACAACAGTTTTTGCATACCACGGAGGGTTTGTATTTTCTTGGAACATTTTCCTGTTGGCACGCGACAAACGTTTGGCTGTGTGTTGTGTGGCTGGGTGTGCACAATGTCCTGTAGGCTGTGAGGAGGCGAAGAGAGAACAGAGCGTGGCCTCTAATTGCACACATCCTTGCCGAGCACCGAGCGACTAACAATGTTGACTCATCTCACCACTCATTGTTTCATAGACAATCCATTAAATTACTCTAATTGAGAGATCGTGTCGGGACGGTAATCAGTTTTGTGACTTTCTAAACCCGAAACACATCGAGCACTTCGACTTGTCATCAGTATGACGCGGGCGCGGCCAGGCCAAGCTACGACCACTGCAATATAAGTCTGGTTGTGTGCATCGACAGCTTACCAGGGTATGGAAAACGTATAAAATAATAAATGCGGAAAAACTTTTAATAAAATACGGAATAAAATATTTTAATTTATTTTTTTTTTACCCAACGTTTCAATGCAGATTTAGATTAGACCTGCGAAGTACAGAAATTTACAAGTACGATTCCACCAAACTAATATAACTTAAGGCAAGAACTAAAAAACACAACAAATGTTCTACAACTCCGACTTGAGTTTCACAGATACTCTATCATTGTTACCGAGCTTCGATGTCACCACTTAGTAGAGGGCAAAACACAATTTTTGGAAACCTTTACTTCCGAACAGAGCACGCAGTCAATAAAACATGCAAACAAAGCAATCAACTAAAAGCATCAGCTAAATTGGCCGCCTGACATGTGTTTGAAGTGGGAGAGAGAGAGACAAAGGAGATGAAATCACCGAGACTGACGTGACGTGATGTCATCTGTGACACCACCTCACCCTCTGCCCTCCCTCCCCCCCTCCCACAGTCTCCCGCTGAGACTTCGCACATGTCCTTCTAATGGACCACTTGTCATAAATAAATAAATAAAAACTGCGGACCGCCACTTCTACCTCCATCACCACATGGACAACCGCGTACTTGACGGATTTGAACTTAGGCCTACAACCCAACTATCATTGCACACAACAAATTAATGAGAAGTACTGACGGTTATTAGTAGTATAACGACAATTATGGGAATTAAATCTTCACAAACCCGGTAAATGGCTGCTAATTAAATCGAACTTACAAATTGCCCCACTTACCTAGCTATTTCGATAATGACTGCCCAAGACGCTATATGGGTGGTGGGTTCTCGGTCGACCCTCAGGTAAAAAACCGAAAAAGCCTCAATCAAAGTGAAAGGTTAGAGTTGGAGCAGCTGAACCAAAACACATCTTGCGGCTATAAAACGCCACATGCCGCTCTGTCCCTCGAGCCGCGCCGCTTCGGCCCAACGCCCAGCTGTAGTGGCGATAATGTGTGTGACTAAACAAACCGTGAAACGAACTAACCAGGAATGCACTGATGAAACATCACCTGGACCAAGACAAAACTGATTAATCAGGTAAAAATACCGACTTGGCGTGGCGTGGAGGGGCATTTCTTTCCAAAATGTAAAACCATTGCATTCCTATCTGCGAATTGTAAAATTCACCGAGAGTAGCAATTCAATATTGATTTTTCATGGTCTGTTACAGATTGTTTACATCGGCCTATGGACAAAGCAGAGATACACCACTGAGGATAAACTGCATACTAAATTGAATAACTAAGTGATGTGTACAAGCTAAGTAAAGAGGACAAAATTATCTATAAAACTGTTAACCACAAAAAACCCTCCATGCTTCACTAAATGATCAATTCTTTGCTTTATTCCGGAAGTTAAATAAAAAAGTAAACAAGTTCTATAACACCTTGCATGACATTTTTCATCGTCAATCCACTTAGATAGGCCTATTAGCAGATGAACGACAACAAAAACAGTTAAGTGACATATTATGTTATATTCATTTTATCAATCGTTGTGGCAAAATTGAATAGATTGGTCAAGTGAGTCAGCAAAGCGGAAAACACAACAAGCTATTAGCAACAGTTGAACAAAGAACGTTTAACAAAGAAGTTGCGTGGACTAACTGGATAATCCTACTGCTACTAATCTGCGGGGATAAATGCAACATTTTGATATGCACCACAATAACGAGTAATGTGACCAGGTGGTCAGTCCCCAGCCCCAGTCCGTCACGTTATCTTCTCTGCATCTCACGTTTAGCGGCCGTCCACAAGTCAACGACCAACGACCACAATCTCCTGTAGGTGTGTGAGTGACGTATGCCACCTTATATCAGCTGTAGCGGCAGCGGAGTGAACTAAACCGTTACGCTACGCCGATTTAAGGTGACTAAGGCTGAGTGTTCTGACTAATGGGGTTTCACTATCATACAATCTCAGAGAGGATCTAGAAAGTGACCAGCAAACGGGTCAGGGATGTACCGTAGACAGCGGTGTAGATGGAGAATGTATCATCGTTTGACAACTACTGTATAGTCATTTGGTTCGGAAACTGATTAGCGTTTGGTTTCAGGATTCATTTATGATAATTCACAAACATAGGCTACTAATAATCTTAGACATTTCACATCTTTGTTGTGGATTAAATGAATACTTCTACACGCACACACTTCCTTAAACTGCAAAGCTAGGTTATTACATGCGATCACCCAAGCACTAAAGCTAAAAACCTTTGCTTTGAGCCAAAATTATGAAGTACGGCTGATAGATAATAATGTTATTTTATTGATAATGTAAACTCTTACCTTAGCAATCCTTATTGTGGTTGGCCGATATTAATTTCGGACCCGTAGGTCCATCTTTATTCGGATGTTTAGGGAGACCAAATACTTATTATAAGATCCATCCGATGGGTTTCGTAGAAATGTTGACATTTAATACGATACACATTACAGTTGACATAAATAATATACATCGGTTAGGGGTAAAACCATGGTTTTATAAAAGTGGGATAACCTCACTTCAGTCAGGGAACACGTTATACTGTCACAGTTCTGCCGGCAACGTGTTCCCTGACTGAAGTGAGGTTATCCCACTTTTATAAAACTATGGTTTTTATCCCTAACCTCTGTATATTATTTATGTCAACTGTAATGAGTATCGTGTTAAATGTCAAAATTTCTACGAAACCCGTCGGATGGATCTTATAATAAGTATTTGGTCTCCCTAAACTTCCGACTGAAGATGGACCTACGGGTCCGAAATTAATATCGGACAACCACAATAAAGATTGCTCTCAAGGTAAGAGTTTACATTATCAATTGATTATATAAGCAATCCAGAGGCTAAAATGATTGATGAAATGTTATTTAGATTCGTTTAGCATTAGATTGATTCGTGGTTTACAAGTTATTTTGATTCGTATATTATAAATGCGCAACTATTTTGGATTTCAAATTAATCTATGTTTACCCTTTGGACTATTTCGGGTTATCTAGTCACAACATTTACATTCTAATCAACTATGAAGGTTTTAGGACCAATCTCATTTATATTGTGCGAATTTGTGAATTCACACCCAAGTGTCATCACCAGCACTTCCTAAATTGATTTTTTTTAATGAGGTCAGCCGCGCGAAGAGTGAGTAAAGGATGATTGTTAGCCACATTGAACATTTATCCTGTACCAATTGATTATTTACGAGCAGATTTACTCGTTAACCTGAGCAACAAAGTCACGCCTTGCTGTACAATGTGAGCATGGATGTACAATGTCTCAGTCTGGGCTGGAGTGTTGAGTATCATGTGACAAACTACACCGCGGCGGCACGCACTGGATAACCTTACACTTACACGGTACACAGTTGCCATTCATACTACCTCAGTAGGTAATAGAGCCGGGGAAAACATACATTACTTCGAAGAAAAACAAA